GGAAAGAAGAAAGAATGGAAATGGGAAATACAGAGAAGTGGGATGAATGATGTTACATTGTGGGCATTGCAATCCACAGTGTGAAAAAGTGTGTATGATTTGTTGAATGGAAAAATGATTTTCTCTGTAAAACTTCACTCAAATCAAATAAAAAGCTAAAAAAGGTAGAGATTATCAAATTAGCTAAAAATGAAATCTTGTAATATGCAGCTTAGAAGAAATACTTCTTAAACAAAAACAAAGAATTTATAGAATTAGAAAATCACCATTTTTGCCTCCCAAGGAATTAATACATCTAAGCATTGAGCATCAACGTATGCTAATACCACAAAGAGAGAGACCACTAGACGTTATGCACTTCCTGATTGAAAAAAACCAAAGAACATTGTACCACCTATAGTTTTGCCAGAAAGGCGAATCTGGTCTGATCAATCCTCTAGATACAGTTGCCAACTTGCAAGCAATGCTGAGGACAGAGGAGCAAGTTTAAATGCATGATGAGAATTCAGTTAAGTAAGATCCACCAAAACCAAACCAAATTCACCATCATGAAGTCGAATCCAACTCATAGCGACCTCTCCTTGGGTTTCCAGAGTGGTATCTCTATGGAAGTAGATTGCCCAATCTTCCTTCTGAGGAGTGCTTTGAACCACCAGCCTTCTGGTTAGCAGTCAAGTGCCTTAGGCACTACGCCACCAGAGCTCCTAAGTAAGATCTTGACCTTGGTAAACTTCAGAAATAGACCTTGTTTGTCAACAGATAAAAGGAAAAGAATGGGAAGGGAACCTGTAGGTTTAAAGAACTTCAAGACATAAATTTTAAAAAACTGATCAAGACTAAATTACAATGTCATAAATGGACACTTGGGTGACAAAATATAAAGAAACCCAAATAAAATAAAAGTCAGATAGTGGTTACTTCGGGAGGAGGAGGAGGAGCTTGTGAGTAGGGTATGACTCATGGAGGGACTTCTGGGGTGCATTGCATAGTTCCATTTCTTTATCTGGGTGGTGGGTTACAAGTGTTTGGCTGATAATGATGAATTAAGGGGTACATTCTTTTTTTGTGTGATTTTATTGTATCTGTGTTTTATTTTATAAGGAAAGGTTAAAGATATAAAATAGTTAAAGTAAACCCTTGCCATTGAGTTGCTTCTGACTCATAGTGACCGTATAGGACAGAGTAGAACTGCCCTATTGGGTTACCAAGGCTGTAATCTTTACTGGAGCAGACTGCCCTGTCTTTCTCCCATGGAGAAACCTCTGATCTTTTGGTTAGCAGCTGAGCACTTAACTGCTGCATCACCAGGGCTCTTATTTAAAGTAAATAGTACTTTATAGTATGCATTCATGTTGATTACTGGACTTATTGAAAGTTCTGGAAACTCCTGCCATAAATTATTTTCTTAGTTTAAACAGCCATCCACACACACACACACACACACAGACACGCACGTGCACGCACACACCACACTTAAAACCAAATAGTAGAATGCTTAGGCTACACCATTAGATAAAATATCTGATTGCTCCAATGGGGAGGTGTTATTCTTGCAAAAACCCTCACCCTAAGTCAAATAACTCTCTAGAACTTTTGACAGTGATTATACGCCAGATCCCTAGCACATGGTTTGAGCCACAGGTGGCCCCTAGAAGCCTTTGCACAGCTGGAGTCTGGTCATCCTCCCTACAGTAGGACTCTTTCCTTGACCCCTGTTAAAAATCAAGGAAACCTGGTGATGCAGTAGTTAAAGTTCTTGACTGCTAACCAAAAAGATGGCAGTGTGAACCCACCAGCTGCTAGGGAGAAAGATGTGGAAAAGGCAGTCTGCGTCCACAAAGATTTACAGCCTTGGAAACCCTGTGGGGCAGTTCTACTCTGTCTTGTAGCGTTGGTAGGAGTTGGAATCGAGTAGATGGCAATGGGTTTTGTTTGTTCGTCTTTTGGTTAAAAATCAAAAGGGGATTAACTATCTCTGCTTGCAGCAAATGTTTTGCTTGGTTTGGTCAAGATCATTTTAAGTTTTAGAAGCTGGAGCCATCTGAGTAGAACTGTAAGAAAATGTCAGGGTAGACCGGCTTCTAAAATAACCTGTCATGTATTTTGTGCTTACAATATTGAAGGGTTACAGTACTTTTTTGGTACTATCACTGCTAGTGATTGTGCAATAAAGAACTGTTTTATTTAGCAAATCCCCCAGACTTCTCACTTCCAGGGCTGACATACCTTCAACTTGGCACACTGCACCCTCCTGGATGCCTTTGTGAACTTTCAAGCTCAGTAAGGCTACTCTGATCACTTTTTACCTCTTTATCTCTAGAAATTCTCTGTCATCATTCTCTTATCCCAGGGAGGGCAATGAAGTAAAATTAATAGTGAGTCATTGTTCCAGAGACTTGAGAACACTTAATATTTATAGATACTCAAAAAATACTTGTTTATATTTACTATTAGTTAATAATTCATTTATAAATAGGAACATTGGTATCTAGTAGTGTATAACTAAAATGATGTTTATGTTATTTCTTTGAATTTTTTGCTTTCCTTTTAAATATTGTTGTTGTTGTTGTTATGTGCTGTTGAGTCAAACCCGACTCATAGCAGGCAAGTGTCTTAGCCACTATGCTACCAGAGCTCCCCTTTTAAATATATATATATAT